ACTTACAACTTACACATAGTAAGAAATGGTTATAAAAACTGAAACAGAAGCGAAACAAGTAATAGGATATATATACATATCTATCAGAAGATTTAATATTGTCTTTGGCCCTGTAGTTGCTGTGTATATCTACAGGTTTGGTGAGTTTCATTGTCTTGTTCTACACCTGTGATTTGCTCCTGCTGTGTTGTAAAATCAGTTCTTGTTTATGCCGTCTTTTGTTGAGCCTTCTCATTGTCATCAGAGTAATGTTTGTTTTCATAAAGTCTCTCTTCTCAAAGCAAAACACTTTCTGACTTTCTCTTTCACTTATAAGTCTATTCTAACATACATAACACACTCAATATAAAGCCTGCACACTGATTCATTCCATAATTTTGTTTTCGGAGACAAATTTCATTAATTGTAAAAGATTCCTTGTTATTGGTCTTTGATCATTTCAGGTACATGCAGACTTGAGGGGCAGTGGCCTAAAACCAAAAAAGGGGGCTGTTCCCCAAACCTATGGTCAAATATTGATACCATATTATCCTTAATATATACACAACCATTCAAAGTTATCCATTAAAACGAACTGAGAATGCATTTATAAACACAAAATAATGGAGTGAACTATTCACGCAGTTTGACAAGATGTCTTTCAAGATTGATGCAATTTACACACACAATAGCATAGAAAAGGTCACTCTTCCTGTATAACCTGTTGATCAGGATGTAAAATTGCCAATGTTTGACTTAAAATAAGATTTCCTTGGTGATAAAGATGCTAGAATAAAAACTACTAAACATGATTGCAGACACAACAAGCTGGTCACAAACAATTCATGCAGCTACCAAAAATAAAAAATTATTCAGACAAACACTTGAGAGAAACCTTTAACAATACAATGCATAAAGAGACAAGGCCAACAACAGGTATCCATCATATCAGGGCCTGGGACAATGAACTAACAAGAGGTGGAGAACACACTTAATGTCTAATATTAATTTGAAGTCTTCTAAAGCACAAAATCAACATTGTCATTTATTTTTTATAATTGTGTTTATTGATATTGAAAAGACACACATAATATAGTTACGAGTGGACGCACAGAAACATACAGAGGTAATCATTATGGAAATGGATGAAAGATTTTGTAAGGCCGATTTTGACCTGCTAAAATTGCCATAAAACGACTAGAAAATGAAAGTTCTTCGTGAATAACAAAACAAGTGGGGAGTTATTGTTTGTAAAATTGGAGCTTAGGCTGCACAGGAAACATTTATGAGTGGGTCATATCAGGCTTAGCCTTTGTGTTGGTTCACAATCTCTTCCAGTTTAGTCTTGTTGGACCCAGAGAAATCTTCCAGCTACAAGAGAAAACAGCAGATTAAATCAACCAAACAATAACTGGAAGTAAATCAAACTCAGCATATTCGTAGAGACATATCTTTAACTTTGTATAGTTGATATGTGACTATTATTAGCTCAACTAGAGGAAAGACAACAGAACAAACCTTCTTCCCGCTCTTGTAGAAGTGGAATGTTGGCATACATTTAATGTCACAAGACTGGGCTACATCCTGCAAAACACAGAACATCACTTTAATATTTCTTAAGACGCTTTATTGCTCTCATCCAACTGCTTTTAGTAATAAAATTCAGCTTTTTGCATAATGTAGACCAAATTTAAAAAGTTTAAGAAAATCATGTAATGAAATCAATGCATTGTACAAATATGACTGAATAAGAATAGGACTTGCAGGGCACATTCAGAAAAAGGAACAGAATCAAAAAAAAAAAGTTTGATTTGGATGTAGGATAACCATAGCATAAATTTAATGTAATTCTACTGCCCTCTAGTGGTATATACATCATGAGCTAAAACGGCACATTAAAAAAAAAAAAAACCTTGGGCTGACATTTCTTTAATCTAAATGGATTTAGGCCTAAACTATGGTTGCATGGGGAATGAACAAGAAGATTCATAAAAGCCAAAGCTTTTCCTCCCATACAAGAGGAGTATCTAGTGAGTGAATTTCTGTGAAACAGTCATATTCAATTCCTTCTAGCTACCAGTTTCAGTCCAAATTTTCACACTGGCCTGTCTGTTAGTTTACTAACAAACATAAATTACCTGCCGTTCTCTAAAGAGCACTATTTGAGAACAGCAAAACTTTTATGTACATTTACAACACTATACTTTGTCTTTTCCTACCCTGGAATTAAGTTACATAAAAGTACATAAAAGCGCTGCCATGTAAGTGTTTCTAATACAAAGGCTTGAGGGAGTGACGGCAAATTCAACATCTATCTCACTTCAAACCAATGTAATCAATCTCTTGATATTATTTTCCTCTTTTGAAAAGTCATAGAAATGCTATTGTAGATATTTTTTTATTGAGGCAAATGAGAACACAATTTATTTTTGTTGTAGTTTCCCTTACCATTATACAAATTTTGACAACTATGATAAATTCTGCTTCTGGGAGCCCCAGAAATGTGAAAAGGGTCCATTACTAGATGATAACCTGGAAAAACTTTTACTCTGAGCTGTTTGTGTCTTCGAAGGATTATGCATTTCTATGGCAACACTATTAATGCAACCATGAATGTGTGTAATCTGAATAATCAACAATGCACAAAATCACAATACTACAACTAACAGTTGTTATGCAAATGCTTAATATGCTTTTAAATTTTATTAAGCAGGACATTAGACATTAAATATTCAGCTCTGTGCTAGCCATGTTAAACTAATGCGTGTCTTTCAATGTTTTTCAAATTAATTTTGCATTAACAATAGACAATGATAGGAATTCTTAAACAGAAACTTTACAACAACTAAATTACATTTGACTCCAGTCGCTGCCATTTTGAGTGGCTCCACGTGACATTGTGGCAGTCAGGTAAATTTAACTCTTAGAAAATTACAAGTTCTACAAGGACATGAAAGCTTTTTACAAGTTGGAATCTCATATTAACTGTAATTCCAAGATTTCCAACATGATTTTTACAACACTACAGTACCAAAAAATAAATAAATAAATAAATAAATAAATAAAAATACATTTAGAAAACTCACCTGTGCATCATCTACGTCCACTTTGAGGAAGACCACATTAGCATAGGAAGGATTTTCAGACAGGCCCTGAAGTGAGGAATTACAATGAGAAACTGTGTCAAAGAAGTCTGTTCCAACGACTCGTACATAGTGACTTAAAGCTGGTTCCTTACCTTGTAAAAAGGTGCGATGCTCTGACAAGGCCCACACCACGTGGCTGTAAAATCAACCACTACAAGCTTGTCACCTGCCTCAGCGAGAGCTTTGTCAAAGCCATCCTATGAACACAAATCAATGTTGGATTTCATGTTTTGTCATCACTGCAATTCTTTAAAATAGTGTTGCTGTGGACCCTTGTTTTTTTAGAGGCAACAGCATGAAAAAAAAAAATCCATGATTAAATGAACCTTATCTACATTCACAGCATTCCAGACTGTGGAGTGGAACCAAAGTGTGTTGAACAGAGATAAAATCTGGTACTCCACTTTTATATTGCTCCAGTCCAAACCTGTTTTCATTCCATGCATTGATTGGTGATCCACAAAGCTTGATGCTTTGTTTTCATTGTTGGAGAAGAAATACAAACTGGATACATTTTTCAAGTTACACAGTGAACTACTTTTTTATAGAACTGTTGTTTGAAAGATAATGCTTAAAGGGATAGTTCACCCGAAAATGAAAACGATCATAATTTCCTCACCTTCAAGTTTTTACAATCCTATTTTAGTTTCTTTCTTGTGTGGAACATAAAAGATGATTTGAAAAATGTTGGTAACCAAACAGTTTCACGGTAGCCATTGACTTCCATAGTAGGTAAAAAAAAATACTATGGAAGTCAGTGGCTACCATCACCTGTTTGGTTACCAACATTCTTCAAAGTATCTTCTTTTGTGTTAAGCGGAAGAAAGAAATTCATTCAGGTTTGGAACAACAAGAGGGTGAGTAAAACTATTTCATTCTTGAGTTAACTATTTCTTTAACTTTATTGTGTAAAACAATTGTTTTATTTAATGCATACTATATACTATTTGCTATTATTAAATTGTATTTAAATATATACCGACCACATTCCCTAGGTAACAACCATAGACTGTATAAAAACATGGACGTAGTGTCCGTGACGTCACCCGTAGAGTTCCGACGAGCCTTTTTGAAGCTCAAAGTGGGCGGAGCGGGCCGTCGCCATCTTTGCAGCGTGTCACTGCGTGTCACTCCCGGATAATCGAAAATGGGCAAAGAGGCGGGAGCAGGTTGCTGAAACCACGCCCATCTAGCTCAACGGCAGTGTCCACAGCAGCTGCAATCCACCTGTCACTCAAGTGGCCACGCCCTTAATTATGCAGAACTTTAAGGCTTAATAAAATTTAAATGGATGAGTTATAAAAAAAATTCACCCCCCTCACAGTTGTCATGAAGGGCAAAATTAGCTATATAGACCAAAATTATTTTTTGAACCAGGCTGTAAACGTTTTTTTCTGCTGTAAAGTTGGGCATTTTAACATGGGGAGTCTATGGGATTGACTCCCTTTTTGTCGATGAATTGCAGTTTTAGTCACTTCCTTGTTGGCTTCACGAGAGAGGGAGGTTGCCGCTTGGTAACAACACAAAACCACATAGGTAGACCACAAAGGTCAACATTTTGTAAGAATTATTACACGATTTATCTGTAACAGACGGAATCAAATAATAGGGCGCATTTAACTACATTACAACAAACAGTAAGAAAGTGTCAATATATCGACATTTAATAATGTTCTTTTACACCGTCTAGTCTTATTCACTGCGGCAAATTACCAAATGCTGCCGTGCCAAAAAAACAACAACAAAAACAGTCCAACCCACGTGACTTGATGGCGCGCTTGGTCTGGAGCAGGTCTCTTCAGGCCGCGATCACCGAAATAAACGAAATGCTACAAGAGCGTGCTACTTTAGTCATCTAGGTTAAACTATGAATGAGAACACGTTCATTTCAAGGATAGGTTTAGACCACACTGCGGTATCGCAAGCTGAAAGTTACGTAACGATGCGGCATGCCAGCTGCCACAAATCTATATTTCACGTGCGTTGGTTCATAATTTTACAACACAACTGTTGCAGTGCAAATAACGTCAAATGAAAGCGGCATTTCAATGGGCGAAAACTAAGCATGTTTGGCTTTCTTGTACCGCTGTGGCTAAGTAGACACTAGCTGGTGTAAAGAATTGGTTAGCAGATAGGCTAATATTATCTACATTTTTTACAAACACACTCTGAACTGACTTAAGTTTATTACTTGCTAATGCTTTATGAATTCTCACACACAGCTGTTGAATTTTCAACCAACTTAAATGAAATCGGTTTGACGGGCAGTTAGTCAGCAAAACATGTTCTCCCTATCCATACCGCGTGATTTAGCTTATTTTCTAAAAAGTAAAAAAAATGTAATGAGTGTCTTGAATTGAAGCAGCGATCTTACCTGATCTTCAATGACGATGATCATTTTATCGCTTTACTGCTGTCTGGAGCTCGGAGAACAAACCTTCCTCAACTCGCTCGCCCAGAAATGAGCCCCCTCCCTCTGCTCTGCCTGACTCAAGCGTGTAGTTTAAACAGCATCGCTTCCTTCAAAAAGCCCTGCCCATAAACGCGCTCACGCTGGCGGACTACTGTGCTATATTTAAAATAGGGAATATATATGGCTGCTGCTGTATACCCAGAATCTGGATTTTTTGACCCATCCGTATATATTTGAATACTATTAAAATAGTTTTGTTTCAAATAGTGATCCACTACTATTTATTTAGGCATACACCTTTCCTTTTCATTTATTTTAAAGTGCAACTGGAGAGCTACCACTGGCATGCGGAACAGCCAAGGGGGTATAATTGGTATTGTTACCGTTTAACTTATTTTTATGTCATTAATTCCTACCTTCTTAGCATCTGCGTTGGCATTCCATCCAAAACTACAATAATTTATATACTCATGTTCCCAACATTTTTGTAAAACATCTTTGACTGGATGGGTTTCTACATGCCCCCTTACAGAACACCAGTATGCCATCTTTAACTTAAGTCTCCGGAGGTCTAAAGGCAACTCCGCCATTTCCACCTGCATCGCTGAGACTGGCGATGTTCTAAATGCCCCACTTCCTATTCTTAGTGCTTGAGATTGGATACCACTTACTTTCTTCAACATAGATACTGATGCCGAACTATATACTATGCTGCCATAATCAATCATAGGTCTAATCATTGCACAATATACTCTTTTCAATGCCTGTCGGGTTGACTGGACATTCTTGCTGCATTTAGGGTTGCATAAGATGTTTTAGATATTTTACAGCAGTTCTTACATTTTTAATAAATCCGTGTGGACAAAGGTCTCAAGCAATCCCTTTTAAATTTGCATAAACAAATTTTTTACCACACTTTTAACAATTCACTTAGGTTAACTTTACAGTGATTGTACATTTATAGTAAAACACTTTTTAGTAGCCAGCAAGTGGTACGTTCTAGCATTGCAATATAACTTGTTGAACTGAAATCATTAGATACAGTAGTTTCTGATTATCACAGTGCAGATATTGTATCTAATAAACTTGTCTTTTTTGACTAAACAGGTGTGAAACAAACATGTTCATAGAATATTCATGTTAAAATAATGAATATTTAATAGACACACAGTTACCAACTGTGATGAATGATATCTGCTAAAAATACCCCATTAAATATCAAAACAGATGGTAAATTATAAATGAATAAACGTATATTTGGATGAGACTTTATTTATTTTGGTTATTGGAGAATGCATGATTTAAAAATGTTAAGCGATCACACTGCTACACAGATCATTCTCATGTCTAGTTCCATACGCTGCTCCTTTTTTCTGCTCTTTTGGACAGCTTTCCATTTCACTCAGCCTGTTCTGTGATGCCTCATTCCATCCCATTCAATCATGTTAATCATTTTCTTTGAACACTGATGAAAATGCATGCGATGGTGGTGATGAGTGTGTTGTTATAGGATTTGGAATAATTAGGCCTTGCTCTTTGAAGTCTCCGAGTACGATGTTGCCACAGATACCAAACCTGCCTCTGTCCTTCTCTTTCTGTCGCATCCTTCATCCAGGCTAGTAGCTATTCAGAGATTCCAGGTGTTTGTCTCCATCATTTGGAAAGAAAGCCTTTTATTTACAACTGCTTAAAGGTCATGTGAGGGCAGTTGTATAGTCGTAAAAGTTTGTCTGAGACGTGAACATAATGTTGCCTGTGAAGGTTTTCACTGTGGAACATAGGATTTGTATAAACAGCTACTTTAAAGCTGTTCACTCATCACTGAAATGATGCTAAATCTGTTGGAATAGTATTACAATAAAATTATATTTCAACAAAATTTGCTTACAAATTAAATATCAAATTATTTCTTTTACAAACACCTGGATGAATGAAAACCTGCACAGACATATTGCCATAATTGAATGCCATAAAATAAAAAACACTGCAGGAAGAAAAAAGAAGAGCAAAGACATTTTGTGGACTGACTAGTCTACAGTCCACACATGATGTTCAATTTAAAAGCCAACATTTTACAGAAAGACTATAATTAGCATTTTTTTTTAAAACCTTGATGAAAGCCTCTCCTATCTAATCAGTCCGCAGCTCTAGAGCGTTGATTGTAAAGTGGACCTGTCTCACGTTGTTTACCGTTTCCTAGGTGTTTTGTATCTCAATTGTAGACCGCGTAACAAATGAATCAGAAAAAAAACAATACATTGAAAACCTGGAAACAGTCCCAATATACAGTAGGAGACAAACTAACCTGGAGGCAAAAGAGTGCCAACAGATCACTCCCTAACATAAGAGTAAAGAGAACATGTGAATGTGACTGTTTAACCAGCTCAGTTCAGGTTGTAATAATAGTAGTAATATGAATATTTGTACCCCAAAACAACTTATTTGTTAAAACAGTACTGCTGGGATACTTGAACTAGGATTGAATTTTTTGAAACAGTAGTAGCGTAGACATGACATAATGTGAAAATGCTGTCACCTAGTGGCCAGGTAGTCCTCTGGTCAGTAAATAAATAAAAATAGGACTGACATCACCACAAAATATAGTGAAAAAGGTGAATATTTGCAGTTTTAATTGTACAAGCCATTTCTACTCTGCAAAAAATGTAAAATGTTTTGCTTTTATTTTATTTTATTGGCTCAAGCTAAGAGGTGAATTTGAGTGACTTGATATGATTTACAAATAAATGCAAATAGGAGAGAGAAAGAAAGAGTCTTCAGTTTTGTGAAATATTCAAACTACATCCAGCTGAGTTATCTGACTATTCGTGATCCCTTACATAATGAACTCATAAATGCATGCAATGTCATCTGCTTTCCATTTCTAAGTTATAAAACAATATATTGATGATTACTGTTCATGACATGCTGATTATGTTAATGTTGCTGAGAATTCAGACATATTTATTAGGAAATTTTAAGACAAGAATAACACTTAATATTTGGGAAGATCACATCAAAAGTTTTTTTCATTTTTTTTTTTTTTCATTTATTGTTACTGCTTTAGGCGCATTATTTAATACGTCAGCACATTAAAAAATGTTTGACCAGATTTTTCAGAGAAACCAACAACAAAATATGAGTAATAAAGGCCAAGAAAACTGCCAATGCCCAGCATTTAAATGCCCCAGCTTGACATTTACTTCTAAATATGATTGTTTTATGCCCTTTGAGTGCAACAAAATGTCTTCCTTCTAAAACACTGAAATCTGCTTACGGCAAAGGATATTCTAAAGATTAAATAGATTTGTCACAAGAAAGAGCCTGCTCTTGAGAAGCCTGTTAAGAGGAAACAGTGAACAGCACAAATGTGTTCAAACATCCTTGTTTTAGTGCACTACAGCATTATTGTGGTTAGATTTGCACTAATTATGCAGCTTTAAAGCTGCTGTGCATGCAAACTTTAAAAAAAAAAAGTAAAATAAAAATTAAACTAATTTTATTTCATTAGTTGCCAAAGAGAACATTGCAAATTTTTCGATGAGTTTAATTTGAAGTGCTAAAACTAAAATAAAAAAAAAAAAAAAAAAAAAACACATATGTACTGTTATGTACATGGTAAATATGGTATTTCTCACATAGTTATACAATTAATAGATGTCTCATGTAAATATCTCACAATTCTTTGTTCTGGATCCAGCATCCATTCCATTTCTTATGAATGAAATAAAGTAATACCACGTTTACATATGGGTAAACACAAATGCAGCCCTCTAAAACATGTCAGTTTAATGTAAAATGCACTCTGCACTTAAAAGGAAGAATGAATGTAAGTAAGCTTTGGATGGTTACACATGCTGTATATGTGGTACATTATGTGTTATTGGTCATGTGGTCCTGTTGTTGCAGACGGATGAGGTGGATTAAGGCTTGGCTGCTGACTTGCCTGGTTCCCTCCAGCCACCAAAAGCTTTCTCCAGGTAGAGGGCAGTGGCCAAAGAGAGACGGTCCTGTAATTTACCTGTCACAATCTGTACGCCCAGGGGCAAACCCTCCTCACTCAGCCCTAATGGACACTGGGTTACTGGCAAACCCAGGATATTAAAGATACCTGCAGAGAACAAAGCCACTTAGAGCCCCAACTCCATAATAAGTAGATCATGAGTAGATCTCAACCAACAACACTTACCAGTGTAAGAGAAGTTGAAGGGTGTGAAAACTGGATGGTGATGTTTGGGAGCGATCTGGGGATGAGTGGGGTACAGCAGCACTCCGTCTGTGCCCAGCAACTCCTCCAGCTCCTGCTGCAGACTCTCCTTCTGCTGTAGAATGAATGGAGATGGATGGGAACTCTGGAACAGCTCAACTAGAGCCAGACCTGAGAAAGAGAGACAGACAGGAACACTATTATCACATGCATTCATTTTCAGATACATTGGGAAAAAAAAGTCTTTGCCGATTCTGCACACTTTTGGGAACGCTTGTCACAGGAAGACATTGGCAGCACTGATTTGCATCTCATGCCCAATAAAGTTAATCAGACACGGATGGAAGAGTGATTCAGTCAGTCACAGTTAAAAGTGCACAAGCTCATTTGCTCTGTCACACACCTATTGCTGCTAAGGTGTGAGAAGAAAATCCCAGAAACCACTTGAACAGCTCCCAGACAGGCCAAACCTTCTTCCCGCCTTCACTCATTACAAAATCTCATAAAAATCATGTTAAACAGTACCCTAATATACCGTTTAAAAATGATTTGCTTCTATTAGAAAAGTATGTCTATAAAAAGGAATAACAGACAATATGCTTTGGTTAAATCAGACATCTAAACTTAATTATATTTTTATAACATCATTTTAATGCCAGAAAGTTAGTGAGAAGAAGAAAAATAAAATTTTACATATCAATTTTGCATCTTAGACATCTCCTTTAAAAGCATCTTGAATAAAACAGCTCCATGTTTAACAAAGCACATATAAAAGACCTGAACCAGAAACGACGAGATCTGTTTTACAGAACATGGAAGTTTGTTGTGCATAACCCCTTTATTTACACAATAGCAAAACCATTAACAGGATGCTTAACATGAAAATAAAGAGCTAAAGTTATCCAATCTCTCAGTGAAGTCTCAACTTCACGTTCATTTTGATAAACTCATTTAATATTTTATCGAGTGTGTATATATATATATATATATATATATTCATTTATTCAATATATTCAATGTTGTATATGATGAAGACATGAAAATTATAATGGCAAAAATCCCACCTTTCCATCTTTGCCAGGTGAGGCCATCATAGTTCCCCAGATCTGAAAGGAGTATTTGAGCTGAGGAATAAACAGTTCTTGGACCTTGACCCCAAGGTCTGCCTCTAAACGTCTGACCACCTAAAAAACCCAAAAGCCCATTATGAGAGGAAAATAATTTGACTGAAGCCAATCCACACACACACTCACTTACCATTTTCTGTGTCTGAAGCAGCTGTGCGTCAACTGGAGAGACCAAATGAGAGCCTCCATTGTGGGGAACAGAGAAGAACCTCAGCTTTTTCAAATCTACTTCAGCAGACAGCCCCAATCTACCAGAAGTGAAAGAGAAGTGATCATTTGGGATACATTTCTAACAGTGGTTGAAAATAAATGAAAATAAATAAGTTGAGAGATTGAAATAAAAGTTACCCTATACAATATGTTGCAAGGTAAACTATTATACAAAAATATAATGGAAATACACCACTGTTCAAAAGTATGGGGTCAGTACGATTTTTTTTATTAAATATTAAAAGAATAAATTTTATGAAGTACATTTTTTAAAATGAAATTTATATTTTTTATACAGTAAGGAGGATACATATACTCTATCCTCTATTCTATATTCTAACATTCTAATAGGCTTCATCATGCAGTGAACGCTTTTGGACCCTCAAGACGAGACCATCAGAACTTTTAAAGGGATAGTTCACCCAAAAATGAAAATTCTGTCACCCTCATGTTGTTCCAAACCTGAGAACATCGTTCATCTTTGCAACACAAACTAAGATATTTTTGATGAAATCCAAGAGCTTTCTGACTAGGGCTGTCGCGGTGAGGGAATTTCCCTTGCGGTAATTTTGAGGGGCTCAATAGCGCGGTATGCGGTATTATCGCCATACATATACACATATATATATATATATATATATATATATAATTTGTGTGTGTATGTGTTACGATATAACTAACGAGGTCATATTCAGAAGACAATGAAACCGAAACCAAATAGCGTTGGAACAGGAAGTGAAGTAAACAGAAGAGATATAGATATATAATTTGTGTGTGTATGTGTTACGATATAACTAACGAGGTCATATTCAGAAGACAATGAAACCGAAACCAAATAGCGTTGGAACAGGAAGTGAAGTAAACAGAAGAGAATGACAAAATAACGGTCCTCATAACAGAACATAAACCTGACAATAAGATCGTTAGACTATCGTTAGCCTATATGTATAACAGTTAGCCTAGTTGTAATCTAATTTTCTAATCTGACTGGACAAGAGACTTTCTATTGATATTTCCATCTGCGCGTTCTAGACGGCTGTCAGACAGTGCAGTTACAGTGTTGCGCCACAAGGTGGTGGATTCAACTACACGTTCAAAAACGCTGATTCATTAATTCAAAGCGATGTAATGAAACACGCTGTTGAAATCATTTTAACTTTGAGCGCCACTTTAGAAGGCTCAGCTGACCAGCTATGCGCCGATGCTAAGACAGAGATTTCGCTTTCCTTGGACATGACAACCTATTTTCCTATATATGACTCAAGTAATCGCACATGCTCAGTCGACCGCAGCATAAATGGCTGCCCACTGCTCTGGGTGTGTGTTCACGGTTTTTTCACTTTTCTAAAACGAGAAGGGCATAACCTTACGAAAAAATAAAACAGGCAAATAGCGTCAATAGCGCGGTATTGCGATATTGCGGTTATCGCGACAGCCCTATTTCTGACCCTGCATAGACAGCAGCAAGCTACCACGCTCAAGACACAGAAAGGTAGTAAGGACATCGGTAAAATAGTCCATGTGACATCAATGGTTCAACCATAATTTTATGCGTCAGCAGCACCACACGCATACATCATGGTACTCTCATGAATGTGCGTGGAAGACTGACACGGAAGAGAAGAAATTGTTGAATAAAGTCATTATTTTTGTTTTCTTTGCTCAAAGAAAGTATTCATGTAGCTTCATAAAATTAAGGTTGAACCACTGATGTCACATGGACTATTTTAACAATGTCCTTACTACCTTTCTGAGCCTTGAACGTGTCAGTTGCATTGCTGTCTATGCAGGGTCAGAAAGCTCTCAGGTTTCACCAAAAATATCGTAATTTGTGTTCGAAGATGAACGAAGGTCTTACAGGTGTGGAATGACATGAGGGTGAGTAATTAATGACAGAATTTTCATTTTTGGGTGAACTATCCCTTTAAGAAGCAGCTGAAGGTACTTCTTCTACAAGCATATAACCACTCCACTCTCTTAACCAATGCCATTACACACACTGCACTCTCTGCATTCCTTTTATTCTCCAGTCCACTTCCTAATCTAGTTGTATAATAAACTTGGCATTGTGTATTATGGATATTGTTGGCTTTTTGGCAAATTGCTATAAGTGGCCTAAGTCCTCTTTTGTAAGTGGCTTTGGATAAAAGCGTCTGATAAATGCAGAAATCTAAAAGTGAGAAAGCATTAGAAATTTCACAATATTTTCTTTTTTTTCCTGTATTTCCGTTAAATGCAGCTTTGATTACCATAGTAGACTAATGTTTTTTTTTTAAACTTCTAACAGACCACACATTTTTGAGTAGCAGTGTAGATTACATTTATGTAATGCTCATATTTTTTACAGTGTTGTTGTGATGATCATATCTGTCTAGTCTATTACTTATTTGCATTGGGTCCTCCCATGATGCTTAGCATGGGAATCAGGTCTTCAGCATAGCGGCACATGGGTCCTGTACACAGAAATCCCATCTGCAGTCCAGAGGCGGGAGGATACTGACCATCATTGCTTACGATACCTGTATGTACAGAGAAAACCAAATGGCGTTTGTGCTCCTCATAACCTTAATCAATATTACTACAATATGTGAAGTATAAAGAGAAACCTTTGACACTCCATCTGTGTCACTCTCCATTATTCTACTTACCAATACATGCAAACAACTACAACTATTCTTCTTACCTGTTGATGGCTTGTGTCCGAAGATGCCATTGAAAAAGCAGGGAATACGGATACTACCCCCAATATCCGACCCAACTCCAATCACAGAGGCACCAGCACCCAATATACTGCCTTCACCTCCTACAATTGAAATTGTTAATTACATTTCATTTTAATTAATGTTGCCCTGGAGGTCATCATGGACTTCTACTGCAAGGGCAATAGTTTTCAGTTAGAGATGCTGTTTTAAAAATGCAGTGCACTATTCACAGTCAACTATTATTAGTTTATTCTGTGAGCAAAAGTGTCCGAAAGAATAGGATTACAGAGATACAGGGAATTTTGTATGCCTTGGCTGGTCATGTGATCTTGTGGTTTTACAGCTGTTAAAGCATAAAGTTTTTATTAGTGCTGTCCATAGACTGTATAAAAACATGGACGTAGTGTCCGTGACGTCACTCGTAGATTTCCGAAGAGCGTTTTTGAAGCTCAAAAGTGGGCGGAGGCGGCCGTCGCCATCTTGGCAGCGCGTCACCGCGCGTCATTCCCGGATAATCGAAAATGGGCAAAGAGGCGGGAGCAGGTTGGTGAAGCCACACCCACCTAGCTCGACGGTGGTGACAGCAGCGGCAATCCACCTGTCACTCAAGTGGCCACGCCCTTAATTATGCAGAACTTTAAGGCTTAATATAATTTAAACGGATGAGTTATAAAAAAATTCACCCGCCTCACAGTTGTCATGAAGGGCAAAATTAGCTATATAGACCAAAATTATTTTTTTAACCAGGCTGTAAACGTTTTTTTCTGCTGTAAAGTTGGGCATTTTAACATGGGGAGTCTATGGGATTGACTCCCTTTTGCAGCCAGCCTCTAGCGGCCAGTTGATGAATTACAGTTTAAGTCACTTCCTTGTTGGCTTCACTAGAGAGCGGGAGGTTGCCGCTTGGTGCTGTCAAACGATCACGATTAATCACATCCAAAATAAAAGTTTTTGTTTACATAATATGTGTGTGTGTGTGTGTGTGTGTGTGTGTTGTGTATATTTACAACCCCAATTCCAGATAAGTTGGGACGTTTTGTAAAATGCAATGAAATCAAGAATCTGAGATTCGTTCACTGACCTGAAGTTTTCACTGACCAACGTAAATGTATTTTGTTAATATGAATAAATTTTGATTTTGATGCCTGCAACACACTCCAAAAAAGTTGGGAAAGAAGCATGTTTAACACTGTCACATCAACCTTCCTTTTAATTACAATGTTTCATTGTTTGGGAATTGAGGATATTAATTGTTAAAAGCTTTGCAAGCAAAATTTTTTGTCCAGTCTCACTTGATACAAGATGTCAAAAGCTCAGCAGTCTGTGATCGTCGTTGTCTGATTCTCCTTTTCATGACTGGTCATACATTTTCAATTGGAGACATCTGATCTGATCTCCAGATTTAAGTCTGTTTAGATATTTGTACTGGAAAACAAGTCAAAAATACTTTTGAAGGATATTAGTAGTAGTAGTAGTAGTAGTACTGCATGCAACCAATAATTCAATGACTTTATAAATTTAAGACTTTCTGCTCTGATTCAACTCTTTTTTAAGTCCTTAATTTGTGGAAGGGCGAATTAAGACTTTTTAAGACCCACGGAAACCCATGTGGCTGAATCCTTTATCTTTTTTATTTTTATTATTTTACACTTTTAACTATTCATTTATTTAGGGGTAAAAGGTCTTTTTTTTATTAAAGGGGTCCTATTATGCTTTCTCACTTTTTCAACTTTAGTTAGTCTGTAATGTTGCTGTTTGAGCATAAAAAAGATCTGTGAAGTTACAAAGCTCAAAGTCCAATTCAAAAGGAGATATTTTATTCAACAGAAATCACTTTTCAAAAACTACAACGAACGACTCGTTTGGACTACAACGCATATTTTCCGGGATTTGTGATATCACAAAGATCGACGAATGGGACGAGACCTGGTTGAGCTGCACTAGAGAAGGCAACGAGTGTTATCACTATGTCGGAGACATGCTAGCTTTCCCAAAGCAGACGAACTTAGAGTGATTATAATCATCCGCGTTTAAATTGCGCACAAATTGATTTGATATTGACGCAATATTTACACTGAAGCTCGCAAATGTGTTTTTCGAACAACCAAGCATGAGAGCATGTTCTAGTACACCCCCAAAACAAAATCAAGACTTTGTAAAAGAGCATAATAGGACCCCTGTAATACTTCATTTGTATTTAAATTTATTTTAAAAATTCATTTAAGTTAAAATCATAGAGAGCACCTTTAACAGATGCAAAACACCTAAAAGTGCATCAAATTGAACAAACAGGCCAGCAAATTGTATAATATTTTAAAAAAGATTGACTGTGGGTTGGATTTTTCTGTCAGTTTTACTTTGATGAAAGTGTCAGGATGTGTGTGTGTAAAAATGACCTGAACTGCCGCCTGCAATTCTCTCAAAGTCATAGGGGTTGTTAGTGATGCCATAGAGGTGGTTGTGGGACTCTAGCCACATACAGAGCTCACTGCAGTTAGTCACACCCAGTGGAATCGCTCCTGCCCTCTTCAACAGAGCAACAGATGGGGCATCTACTCCTGAAACCAGATCCCGTCTGGTCAGCAGCCCTGTTGAGTTAGGCATGCCTGTTAGGGAGAAAACAAAAAGTGTTATCCTACAGATATTTACCATTTTGGAAAAAAGGGTTTGCGAAAAATATCATACCTTGCAGTGCAAAGGCCTCTTTAACAGTGATGGGTACTCCAAGCAGAGGTAGCCTGTCCTCCAGCACCTCCTCTCCTCCCGTCTCCTCCTCTATTAGTTTGTCAACCTGTGCAGCTTCCTGAAGCGCTGCAGAAAACCTGAAGAAATGAGAATGTGTTTTCAGAATCAGAACAAAATGTAGGTTGATTTTACACTTGAACTCACTTACCTGTCTTTGACCATGGCACTGATAAGTGGGTTCACTTCTTGAATGCGGTCAATGTAGGCCTGGACCACTTCAACACTTGTTACCTAAAGACAAATTGGAAGGAAATCAATAAGTGTTTAGGCTGCATAATGCAGTAAAACATACAAAATTGGTTGTGGGTACTTAACTGAAAGACAGACTGAAAACCTAGGTCAAGTGTACTGTGAATATGAATAATGGAGCTAAATGCCTAGAAAGATAAAAATTTGCACACTGCACTGTGT